GACCACGGACTTGATATATTCACAGACGTTTCACCGGCATCGTCAGTGAGTGTTGTTACTCTTAGCAACATGACAATCAAAGAGATAAGTGAAATCGATCCTTTTACCAATCGTCTGCCAAACATTTGTGGTATCTCTCCTTCTGTCTTGGGTATTTACATATTCTATATCCTCGAAAAATCCCCTCACTATCACAATTGCTTACTTGCTTAAATAAATCTGGTTGAGATGTGCTCTTTGTGAGTGGATTTAGTGAGACCTATTCACACTTCCCGCTCATTCTCTACCCCCATCCCCCCCTGCGCTACGAGGGTTGATCCAAGACTGTCGTTTAGTCCGCAATCCTCTTCCTCCAGGGCCTATCAGTCTCCCTCTTGCTCCGTAGGATCCATCACTTATCTGCCTGGGTTAGTGATTTCACTCGATCGCTGACACTATATCTGTGCTACTCGAGAAGTTATGTTTTACACTCTCGTTGAAGCCTTTGATAACACAGAAACGCCAGTCTCACTGAGCAAGCCCCCAAAGTCTGGATTCTCAAGTTGCATGGGAACCTGACTTGACGCTGCGGATTCCTTTATCACTTTTCGGCATGTGGACTGCGTAAATTTCGTTGTCATGCCTTAAATCTGCTCAAAATTGGTACACTTCAACCATACTTTGATAAACAATTTAGCATTTGTAATAGTGAAGGGGTTTTACAAGGTTATATGATAGATGAATACACAAGGACAGACGGAGATATATTACAACGGTTAGGCAGACATTTGGTCAAAAAATCGACTTCGCTTGTCTTTGATGCGTTGTGTTGTGGTGCCAAGACCTGCAAGGTTCATTGACTGTACCGGCGAAACGTTGTGGAATGTACCCAGTCCACGGTTCGACTCTGGAAATTATCATGCATACTATGGACTCCGAACAACATGCGTTCATAGGCCTTCCTGCCGATTTCGCCAAGTTGTGAAAACAACGTCAAACAATTACTATGCAACCAAAGGAGATTATGACTATTAAAAAGGCCACATAATCTTGATCTTCCTTTCTTAAATTACTTCTTTTTGGGTCGGTTTATGACGAATTTCATCTCCTTAAGCCAAATCTGTTGAATATATCTAATCTATATTGCCACTGGTAGTCCAAAAAACCTACTCATGCAAAGAAAGATTTTCTATAGCAAATACAACTTTATTTGATCGACAATCCTACCACAGAATGTGATATGCAAAAAAAGCCTGGAATTACTTGAAATTAACATCTGTTCTGTGACCCAAGGACACTTATGACAATGTGCTGTGTTCGTCAACGTGTCGAGAACATCTATCACGGTTCGAGTCCCGCTGAAGGTTCTAATGAGCCCTAAACGTTGTAGAATCTACAGTCAACTCTGGATGGGAATACCTTCTGTGAAGCAAGGCAATGTGTAATAAAATGGGAACGTATGACCTTCTTAAAACATTGTTTAAAAATTTAACTTCTAGTCCTTCTCACCTTAACAAAACATGGTGAATATAAATCATATATCTGCTAAACTGTTGTGCAATAGTACCGGACGAGTGGCAGCATAATTCTTCTGCAGAAAGTTGGTTAAAAATAGATTTCACTCGTCTCTTTGATAAATTGTAGCTCAGTGCTAAAGAGAGTAAGGGTCACTGATAATTATAACTAAGCTATCGGGAAAATATCTTGGGATATAACAAGTCGACGTTCAGAAGTTGGAAATGATCCTGATTAAATCAGCGGACATTCTTTGAGGTCTCCTGGGGGTACCAAAAAGCTTGATTCTTACGATAAAAGCGACAAACTCAAAGGCTTCAGCAAAGGTTTACTGGAACCAAAAGATGGTACAACAGGAACCGATTCCTTATGGGCGACTAGCCAGTCAAGTTTTCTTATGCCTTTTCTAGGCTATGATTCTTCAACTTTTAAGATCATCCCCCAATACCCTCATACAGAACTAAAATAATGAGAATGAGGATGGAAATTTCAAGTTTATAAAATAGTAATTAAAGCAATATTCGATAATTTATAAATAACATGAAAAAGAGTAAATTTTAGAGAGCTTAGGTACTTTTCAGGGATGGCTCGAGTGGCAGTGTAGCATTGGCCGCTATACGAAGCTTAATGACTTGAAAAAAGGACATTTAGTTCACCGCCAAAAATCTGCTTCTTTCAGAAAGGATTAAGACAAAGAGCAAATTATAAAGTATATTCAAGAAATAGATGCTTGGCTAGATGATACAAACTCAAAAAATCTTAGGGTCTTGGTCTATATTTGTTATGGTCACATTCTTTTTTTTGGAACCTTGGTCGTTAAAAGGGGGCAACTGGTGCATCCTGCCTCTGCCATCCATTTTGTATGAAACTTTTGAAAGATTACCTTGACTTAAATTCACCTTATTAAGGCGTATCTGAGGCCGTGTCCTAATCTCACTTGCTTAGAATTTTGAAAGATGAAATCGAGCTTACTATTAAATTTGCAACCTTGATAGGAGACAGACTAAGGAAAATGGTTTTAAATTATTGCCATTAACACACATGTTATGTGGGCTTCTTTGATCGCCTTGATCTCAGCGTTGTTGGCGCAACCGAGGATTTCGTTAAGCCCCACCGTGTATGTACCACTTCTCCGAATACCCTGGCCGAGGTCGAAGGATAACATTTCTATCGGTGTCTGGAAGAGAGCTCGAACTAGGTTACCGTAGTCGCCACTCAGCTTCGATTTGATAGTTTCCATCAGGTCCTTTCAAGCAAATGGTAGACATAGAACGAAATGAAATGAAATGGCACGTAGTAAATATTTTATTGTTATCCACGAGGGATTAAAATGACAAAAATCGTATTTTAAACTCCATACAATCATAAATGCAAAAAATCATAATTCTAGGAGCCCAAAGGTCTTGAAGAAGCTGCTTCTGGCGAAACATGACTTAATAACTATAAATATGTCCAAAATATTTGTATTGGCATGTAGGAATCAAATAACATTTCTCAGGCAAAAGTAACGCCACAGGGTAAAATAATGCTTCAGGACATTTTAATTGAGCTAGCTACGACTAAGTCTAGAAATATTCACTTTGTCAATTAAGACCACGATATCTTGTATCCCAAAGCACTTCTTCCGAGAGAATGTGGCAAATGGTTTATTCTTGTATTGGAGTAGAGTTTCGAGACTACCAGTAATTCAGTAATATGAGAGGTATTCACCCTAGTTCGTTTAAGGTGATGAAGGACTGGTAGTAGAATTTTCCCACAATGATATGAGTAGA